GGGCGCCGGCCACGGGCCCGTGTCCTTGCCGGAGGCCTTCGGTTGGTAACCGAAGGTTATATACGCTCGCCGCCCCTGCCGCCGACCCTTTTGGTGGACCTGCGCCCGAATCCGGTCGACGGATTTATATGTATCTAGCAGGTTTTTTGCGCAGAACGTTCAAAAACATCGTGTTTTACAGTGTTTCGTGGCTTTCGGCGGCGACGACTTTCGCCTAACAGGGCACCGGTGGTGTCGGTTATGCGTGCCGCGCGGACAGGCTTAATCGACATTTTGTGGGTGTTGGGCACATAAGTTGCCTAACGTATCCCCAACATAGGCCCAAGATAGCCAACATATGCCCAACATAGCCTCCAAGATGGCTCAACATAGGGCCAACATATGCCAACATGGGGCCAACATACGCCAACATAGGCCCAACATAGCCCCAACCTAGGCCTAACATAGGCCGACCTAGGCCCAACATAGGCTCAACTTTGGCCCAAGATGTGCCCAACATAGACCACATGGGCTCAACTTGGCCCAACCTAGGGCCAAGATGCGCACCAGATAGCTTAACTTTACTCAATATAGGCCCCACCAAGTCCCAAAGAAAGAGAGAGAGAGAGAGAGAGAGAGAGAGGGAGAACAGAGAGACAGAGACAGGACCCAGCCCTGCACATACCCAAACCCAAATAGGCCGGCGCCCGGCCGTCAGGCGTAAGCCTCATAAATCCGGGCGCCGGCCACGCGCCCGTGTCCTTGCCGGAGGCCTTCGGTTGGTAACCGAAGGTTATATACGCTCGCCGCCCCTGCCGCCGACCCTTCTGGTCGACCTCCGCCCGACCTCCGCCCGACCTCAGGTTAAATCCGGTCGACAGATTTATATGTAATTTACAGTGTTTTGTGTGTGTGTGAGGTACACAAAGCGCTGTGTTTTACAGGGTTTTGGGCGGCCGAGAATTTCATCTTGGCGATGTTAAAAAAACGTAGGTTTTTCCATGGTTTTTGCTTTGCGGGAAGGAAGAATCGTAAAAAGTTGTATCGGAAGATTTTTTCTACATAAATTGCATGAAATCTCCCCAACATAGGCCCAAGATTGCCAACATATCCCCAACATGTGCCCAACATAGCCTCCAAGATGGCTCAACATAGGGCCAGCGCAGGCCAACATGGGGCCAACATACGCCAACATAGGCCCAACATAGGCTCAACCTAGGACAACATAGGCCTAACATAGGCCAACGTAGGCCCAACATAGGCTCAACGTGGGCCCAAGATGCGCCCAACATAGACCACATGGGCCCAACTTGGCCCAACCTAGGGCCAAGATGCGCACCAAATAGCTTAACTTTGCTCAATATAGGCCCCATCAAGGCCAACATAGGCGTGACATACGCCCCACAGACCCAAGTGGGCCGGCGTAAGCCTCATAAATCCGGGCGCCGGCCACGAAGCCCGTGCCCTGCCTGGAGGGCCTTCGGTGGTAACCGAAGGTTATAGACGCTCGCCCCCCCTGCCGCCGACCCTCCGGACCAAAACGGGGGGACCACCGGTTCACTGATATCAACGTAATTTACAGTGTTTCGTGTGTGCGTGTGAGGTATAAAAAACACTGTGTTTTACAGGGTTTATTGCGCATATCGAAGTACGACGCGTGGGAAAGAGAAAAATGCAAAAATGCTGTGTTTTTCAAGGGTGGCGTCGGTAATGCACGCTGGGCGGACAGGCTTAATCGACATTTTGTGGGTAGAGGCCCTCCAGACGACTTACATTGCCTAACATATCCTCAACATAGGCCCAAGATAGCCAACATATCCCCAACGTGTGCCCAACATAGCCTCCAAGATGGCTCAACATAGGGCCAACATAGGCCAACATGGGGCCAACATAGGCCCAACCTCGGCCAACATAGGCCTAACATAGGCCAACATAGGCTCAACGTAGGCTCAACATGGGCCCAAGATGTGCCCAACATAGACCACATGGGCCCAACCTAGGGCCAAGATGCGCACTGGCCCAACATAGGGCCAACGTAGGCCAACATGGGGCCGACATAGGCCATAGGCCAACATAGGCTCAACATAGGCTCAACATGGGCCCAAGATGTGCCCAACATAGACCACATGGGCCCAACTTGGCCCAACCTAGGGCCAAGATGCGCGCCAGATAGCTCAACTTTGCTCAATATAGGGCCCCCGTCTCCGACGCGGACCAGTTTCCCACCTTGGCACCACCCAGGGCCGTACGCCCCCGATAGCTTAACGAGCACCCGACCCAGCCCTACACAGACCCAAAAGTGGGCCGGCGCCCGGCTGTTAACGTAAGCCTTTAAATTCGGCCAGGGGCGTATACCCCGTCAGGGCCGTGTCCTGCGTAATGCACTTCTCCTTCTGCGAAGCAGAAAGCAAAGCCGACCCCTGCCGCCGACCCCAGAAAACTAGGGTTTTTGACGTTGTTTTTTCCCGCTCTTGTTGCTCACGATGGGTCAACATAGCCCAACATAGGCCCAAATAATGCTGGAAATGCGTGCTGCACCGGTGTGCTTCGTCTGCATCGTGGGCGGACGCTGGGCTAACATGGGCCCGAGCTAGGCCAACATGGGCTCAAGCTGAGCCAACATAGGCCCAAGATGGCCCAAGCTAGACGCAAGCTATGCTCAACATAGCCACAAGACCGCGCAACAAAGGCTCCAGATGGCCTAAGCTAGACCCAAGCTGTGCGCAACATAGCCCCAAGCCCGCCCAACCTGCACCCGCACCCAATCTTCCACCGTCCAGCCCCCTACCTCAAAGCCCCTGGAAGGCTGTCGGGCGTAAACCCTTAAATCCGGGCGCCGGCCCCTGGGCCAGCCCGTGTTGCGCCCGAAGGGCAAAGTTTTAGGGAACGGCAACCCCCGCCGCCGACCACCCCGTGTTCACCTCCCAACATGTAATTTACAGTGTTTCGGGTGTGTGAGGTACACCAAACACTGTGTTTTACAGGGTTTATTGCGCATACTGAAGTGCGACGCGGCGTAGAGGGAGAAATGCAAAAATGCTGTGCTTTTCAAGGGTGGTGTCGGTAATGCGCGCCGCGCGGAGAGGATTAATCGACATTTCGTGGGTGTCGGGCAGGCTCCAACAGCAACGGATGAGGTACACAAAACACTGTGTTTTACACATACTGAACGGGAGCCCGGCGAAGAGGGAGAAAGGCAAAAACGCTGTGTTTTTCAAGGGTGGTGTGGGTCATGCGCGCCGGGCGGACAGAACCTGGCCCTCCAGAATACCCTGCATAGGTCTCAGATATGGCACACATAGTCGCACGATGACCCTACATAGGTCCCAGATATGGCACGCGCGTCCCACGCGCCAACCCAAGATGACTCAGCATAGCCCCTATAGATGGGATAAGACAGGTTCAGATGTGGCCACATATGCCCCACACTGTCCCAAAGAGAGAGACAAACAGACAGACAGACAGACAGACAGACAAACAGACAGACAGACAGACAGGGCCAGAGGGAGACAGAGACGGAGACAGAGACGGACAGGGACCAAGACAGCGACAGAGAGAGAGAGAGGGACAACAGACAGACAGACAGACAGACAGGGAGGCAGGCAGGCAGACAGACAGACAGACAGACCGACGGACCGACCGACCGACCGACCCACAGACGTCCCGGCCCCCGTCGCCTCATGTCTTTTGCCTCTATCCCCTCTACCGTCCTACGTTTGCCCTGTGTTGGGCCGGCGCCCGGCTGTCAGGTGTAAGCCTTAAAATATGTTTTCTTAGCCTCAGCTGTTATACTGGCACTGGTTGAGCCTGTTAGATTTGGGGGTTTCATCTTATAGTTGATTCCACATTTGTCCTTTTTACAGCTTGAACCTGAAATTCAACTACGTATGAAATATTGCCTGAACAAAACGTGATGTGATTGTATCCTGCCTGATTGCTTTGATAATACAGCTTGCCTTTGTAGAACATGGTGTTTTCATCCTTCTCAGTGTATTTCAGAAGGTCCTCAATGCCTTCAATCATCCTACATTCAATGGGTTCGTCTCTGGTGTGGATGTGGCTGTATTCCTTGTTCATACCAAGCGTTCTTCTTAGTGCCTTGAAGTCTTGGTTTAGTGTGTTGATGTGATCATCCTTAATCAATCCAAAAATTGTTTTAATACGAGGGTCTTGTTTTGACGGCTTATAGGAGTACATCAGACTACCCTGGCTGATACATTGATTCTCTGAACACCTTGTTCAAGGCACATCAGTAATTGACGCTCCAAATGCTTTGAATTCTTCATCAGTTTCACCAATGGGTTCCAGACCATTTTCTCTGGCCATCTTTCCATAAAATTCAATGTATTGTCCAACTCTCATTTGTGATGTAGTTCTTTACTGATGGCTTCTTCAAATGTGGCAATGTTCTGCATAGTTTGATTGATATTCTCGCATGTTTGGGGCCGGTCAGCCATTGCAAACGTTTTCAAACCGGTTCCTGTGGCAAAATTTGTTCCAAGTAGTACCTGGATCCAAGATTCAAGATCTAACAAACAGTTCTTGAATGCCGAGTCTCTCCTCCTCCAAGTTTCTGGATTCAAGAGCTTTTTTGGATCTTGAATCTTGAATCTTTGACACTGCTCCCGCTTGCAAATGATTGGCCTGATCTTTTTTCATTTCTCCCCGACTTGAGGAAATATTCTTAAGTACGCTCTGTAGATATGTATAGACTATATATATAGAGATATGGTAAAACCCAAAAAGCTTTCATGCAACATGCACTTTTGCATCTGCTGACCTCCTTTTCTTATCGCTGTCAGGCTTTGTGGTGACAATGTTTGGTGCAGCATCCGGGGCCTCTCTCGAGCTACATCTCCCAAGTACTGCTCGTGAGTCACCCACATTGGCCACTACCAAGTGATCGCGATGCCGATAGCAAACCACAGCCTGCAGAAATGCCAGAGGTGTTCCAAACCAGTTTGCAATGCAAAGTCCGGATGGATTCAAATCATCAAGTAGTGCCGTAGTGCCTAGGCCCCTTAGGTCGCTAGGCTAAAGTCTGGAGTGTACAGTCCACCCGTCCATTTCAACAAACTTCCGGCCGTCGTCCCCGAACGCTGTGCATCGATGGCATGGCTTCGCTCAATGCTACGTTGTGTCTCTGCAAAGGAATTCTCCATCGCCACGGCAGGCTTGGTATAGAGATCCTGCAAAGGGTTGGCACCCTGTGGTTTGGTGTCATCGGAGATACACGCAAGATGACCTTCAACCTTTCCTAGTGGTCCTAGTGCATCAAAATGCATGCATCTCAAGGAACACAAGTTTGATACCTTTTCGGTCTTTGAGAACCTTCCATCCTTGCTCCTCTCTACCAAGACCTATCCTCATAAACATTCTAATTTTTTCCAGCATTGGCAGATTTCATGCACATAATATTGGCCAAAACGCTATTTCGAGATATTCCAAGCAGAATGATTCCAAACAACTGAAGTAAGGCAACCCCATTTATACACATACAGTCTGTAGATGTCCTTAATTGTTTAAAGAAGCAATTGCAGCAAAATTCGATTCTGCAGAATTGTGTACAGCAATTCTGCAAGGTGTTGGCACCTTGCTGGCATAGAGGTTCTTGGCCAACTGCGAACGGGCAAACTCTGAGACTCTCTTGCCTGAGAGGGCGGGAATTCCCGATCCTTTGAATCCTTTGCTCTAGTCTCAACGAGCCGTTTATGATTTGCAAATCACAGCAAGCTTTCAAACAGGCTCACCTTGCTCTCCATGACCATCCAGAACAGCCACCAAGCTCTTTGTGCCATTTTCAGTGGCGATGTAGGAATCCTCAACAGTTCTTTTTGTTTTTCAGTCAATTGAGTGTTCAAGTGCTCATGGAACTTGCGAAAGGCTCACAACTGACCCGTTGCAGGCCTGGTTCTCAGCATTCTTTCCTTGATTCTGAAAGGTGCACACCTCAGTCTTGAACAAGCTACTAGGAGCAAGCTACTAGTACGCTACGAGGAGCTACTAGGAGCAAGCTACTTGGCCTTGCTACTAGAGCAAGAAGCTACTAGTAACAAAGGGCATCGCTACTAGTAACAAGAAGCTATTGGGGGGGTAGGCCGTCGAGGTGAGGTAGTAGCTAGGTAGCTAGTACCTTACTTAAGCGGGGGGGAGCTTCCTTGAAGAAGTGCTCGCACTAGTAGAAATGCCCTTGTTCCTAGTAGCTTCTTGTTACTAGTAGTACGATCAGGAGCCCCTAGTAGCGTCCTTGCTCCTAGTAGCGATGCCAGGAGCCCCTAGTGGCGTCCTTGTTCCTAGTAGATTTTTAGGGAAACTTAACTATTCGAAGATCAAACACAAACACCATCAGTGCCACTCGTCTTTGTTCAATGCACTTCATGCTGGTTCTGGCGCCACCGTGTGAATACAAGTTGGCTGACTGACTCTAGCATGTTTAGACTCTCTAGCAAACTCTAGCATGGGGATCAACAAACTGCTAGTCTTGCCCATTCTGTTACCAACTCAAACCACATTTCACTGAATACATCAGCATTGAGGAAGGCACTCCTACGTAACATCGCGGGCCATCTGAGGCCATATCCCTGGCATCGCAAATTATTCAGGAAGGTACATAACGACTCAATCTGAGAAATGAACTGCAATAAAACACAGCCAAGCTTTGCAAGTTGCATGGGCAGTCTACAGAGAGTGTTAAACAATGTGTAGACCCCCTTGCCTGTGAGAAAGAGGTGTAGGCGGCGGCATGAGCTCATCACGCAGGCAATGGAACCCTTCCCCCCCCAAATGTCCTGAAACAAGCAGTAAACACCAACCAGCACTCGGCCTCAAGGTGTGCTTCATATGCAAAAATGGCTGACATAAATGATACTGATCAAAGGAAGTTTAGAGGAACTTCCGCGTTACGAACTTTTACATTAGCTGTAATTCTAGTTAATTGTTCTACCACTGATCTCTAGCTCCAGTTCGTTGTTCTACCATTGATCTCAAACACCACTCATCATACACCACTTATCATACACCACTCATCATACACCACTCATCATACAC